GAAAGGAACAAACAGAAGAGTCATACTTCCCTGAAGAGGCAATTTTCCAAAAATTTATTCCTTACATAATTGATAGGCAGTTGTGCAGTTGAAACCACAGGCAGTTAAAGCACAAACATGGCAGAAATAGGCAAAATAAACTTAACTAAATGTAAATGATTTGATAAAGATTAAACTACTTAGTTACTACACCATGTAAATCCAGTTAAGTTTAACTCTGAAGCAAAAAGGGTTAACAAAGCATTACAAACGTGTTTTATACCACAAAATGTTTGCAATGAGGATGACTGTTAATCTACAACTCATCAACTTGCCCCTGGGACAGATCATCAGAAAAGATATATAGTGTTTGAAGTATTGAAACACAGATGATGCTTCTACAAAAATCTTGTTATGACAACTCTTCAGTATTGGGAGCCACCTCAAGAAAATTGAAGAAAAAGATGAAGTTGGGAGAAATAGGTGGCAAGAAATGTTAAATTTTCAATGATTAAATTATGATAGTACGTTAACTGGAAAAACTTGTTGCATTTTTTTTCAAAAATACACTTATGAAGTTGTCACTTGAGTTCCTCTGGTCTAATTCCATATATCCCTGTTATAATAGAACTTTTCTACATTATGTGGATCATTAATACGTTGGACATATCTGCTGTAAGAAGTCTGAAGGGCTTTACTCCTTAATACTTGTACTAAAACTGGACTGACGTACCAATGCATTTCTTTAAACGAATTGTTGCGTTTTTGTAATACTTCCATACTTCCTGCATCACGATTATTGTTGGTCAGCACCCCACCAAAATCATATGGACCTAAACAGGAAAATAAATATTTAAACAAGGTTTCACTTTACCTTCCATCATCCTGTTCCTAACTTAGTTGGATTGGTGAAACCACTCTTCATTGTCATTAAACTGTTTCTTTACCTTTTGATTATCACAACATTTTGAAAAAAAACATGCCTTCTTGATTCATGAGTTTAACGATTATAGAATTCATCACTTACTGTAGGAATACTGAACGATATTAACAAGTTTCAGCAGTTACTTCTCCAAATTGTAACATCCTACAGCCCTCAGATCTCGAGACTCCTCCACATTCCTGACGTTATTTACTTTATGTTGTCAGTTGTGTTTTAAATGTCAAGGTACTAAACTCTGGAATTCCCTTCATAAACCTCTCCAGCTCGCTGCCTCTCTCCTCATCCTTTAAGGAAAGCCTGAAAATATCAGTATCTGACCAAGCCTGTGGTTCTCTGTTCTGATAGCTCTACGTTTGTGAGGGTCAATTTTTTGTTTGATTATACTCTTCTTTAGCAACAGTGGAAAAAGCCTGTTCATTCATTAGAATCATAGAATCATTACAGTGCAGAAGCAGGCTGTTCAGCCCATCGAGTCCAAACCAACCCTTCGAACATGATGTCACCCAGACCCACCCCCATATCCTATCCCTGTATTCCTACATTTCCCATGGCCAATCCATGCACATCTTTGAACTATGGGAGGAAACCGGAACACCCAAAGGAAACCCATGTAGCTATGGGGAGGATGTGCAAACTCCACGCAGACAGTCGCCCTCTGGTCCTGTCAGGCAACAGTGCTAACCATGAATCTGAAATTCACAGCCTGTGAGGGTGGTAGAGATAGAAACCCGCATAAAATTTAAGTAGCATTTAGATGTCCACTTGTGTTGACCAGGGCACACAAGGCTATGGGCCAAAATAAAATAGGATTAGAGTAGAAAAGTTAGGCACTTGTTTGCAACTGGTGCAAACTCAATGGGCTGAAGGGCCTTTTCTGCGCTGTAGACCTCTGACTATTAATCTAAGCATAAACCATGATATTCTTTAAAACGTTTTCAACTATATATTTTATTTATAATCCTTCTATTTCACTGAACTCAGTGGAATTTAGTTTTTTCTAAACATATTTAAAGATAAAGTCACCATAGAGCTGCTCACTCATTAGAGAGAGAAGACTGATGGTGGTTTAACCTGTTGGACACCACGCCTCAGGTGAGGACACAGGTTAAGAAGGCGAGTCCTTCAAGGTGACCCCAGCCAGTGCAAAATTTGGACCCATAATGTTGGCAGCACTCTGCATTACAAACCAACTGACCACTCAACTGAGCTAGCCAAACACACACTAAACATATTAAGGAATTCTTCATTGTGCAGGAAGATGCTATTTTGCTACATAACTCTACTATCAGTTTAATAGTTATGAATAGTAGATATCTCAAAGAAGTACCTCGCCAGCATCACATATTCCTGATTGTAAAATCCAAAATAAGGTTTTCTTTCAGAGATAGTGGGAACTGCCGATGCTGGAGAGTCTGAGATAACAAGGTGTAGAGCTGGATGAACACAGCAGGCCAAGCAGCATCAGAGGAGCAGGAAAGCTGACGTTTAGGTCTACACTCTTCTTCAGAAATGGGGGAGGGGAAGGGGATTCTGAAATAAATAGGGAGCAAGGGGGAGGTGGATAAAAGATGGATAAAGGAGAAGATAGGTGGAGAGGAGACAGACAGGTCAAAGAGGTGGGGATGGAGCCAGTAAAGTTGACTGTAGATAGGGAGTTAAGGAGGGGATAGGTCAGTCCAGGGAGGATGGACAGGTCAAGGAGGCGGGATGAGGCTGGTGGGTAGAAGATGGGGGTGGGGCTTGAGGTGGGAGGAGTGGATAGGTGGGAGGAAGGACAGGTTAGGGAGGTGGGGACGAGCTGGGCTTGTTTTGGGATGCGGTCGGGGGCAGGGAGATTTTGAAGCTTGTGAAGTCCACATTGATACCATTGAGCTGCAGGGTTCCCAAGCGAAATATGAGGTGCTGTTCCTGCAACCTTCGGGTGGCATCGTTGTGGCAGTGGGGGCGGCCCAGAATGGACATGGAGGCGGACAAGGGAGTCACAGAGAGAGAGCGGTCCCTCCGGAAAGCAGATAAGGGTGGGGAGGGAAAAATGTCTTTGGTAGTGGGGTCAGATTGCAGATGGCGAAGTGCTGGAGGATGATGCGTTGGATCTGGAGGTTGGTGGGGTAGTACGTGAGGACGAGGGATATTCTGTTTTGGTTGTTATTGCGGCGAGGGGGTGAGGGATGAGTTGCAGGAAATGCGAGAGACACGGTCGAGGGCGTTTTCGACCACTGTGGAGGGGAAGTTGCGGTTCTTGAAAAACGAGGACATCTGGGACGTCCGGGAGTGGAATGCCTCATCTCGGGAGCAGATGCGGCAGAGGCAAAGGAATTGGGATTAGGGGATGGCATTTTTGCAGGAAGGTGGGTGAGACAAAGTGTATTCTAGGTAGCTGTGGGATTTGGTAGGCTTGAAATGGATATCGGTTTCCAGGTGGTTGCCAGAGATGGAAACAGAGAGGTCCAGGGAGGAGAGAGGTATCGGAGATGGTCCAGGTGAACTTAAGGTTGGAGTGGAAGGTGTTAGTGAAGTGTTCATCCACTTAACTCCCTTGTCTGCTCCACACTCCCCACCACCCTCGGCACTTTTCCCTGCAACCACAGGAAATGCTACACCTGCCTCTACACCTCCCCCCTCACCCCGATCCTAGGCCCTAAGAAGACCTTCCACATCAAAGAGATGTTCACCTGCACATCTACTCATGTGGTATACCATGTCCACTGTTCCCGATGTGGCCTCCTCAACATCGGGGAAACCAAGCGGAGGCTTGGGGACTGCTTTGTGGAACGCCTACGCTCGGTTCGCAACAAACGACTGCACCTCCCAGTCACAAACCATTTTAACTCCCCCTCCCACTCCTTGGCCGACATGTCCATTCTGGGCCTCCTGCAGTGCCGCAACGATGCCACCCGAAGGTTGCAGGAACAGCACCTCATATTTCACTTGGGAACCCTGCAGCCCAATGGTATCAATGTGGACTTCACAAGCTTCAAAATCTCCCTGCCCCCGTCCGCATCCCAAAACAAGCCCAGCTCGTCCCCACCTCCCTAACCTGTCCTTCCTCCCACCTATCCACTCCTCCCACCTCAAGCCCCACCCCCATCTCCTATCTACCAGCCTCATCCCGCCTCCTTGACCTGTCCATCCTCCTTGGACTGACCTATCCCCTCCTTAACTCCCTATCTACACTCACCTTTACTGGCTCCATCCCCGCCTCTTTGACCTGTCTGTCTGTCTCCTCTCCACCTATCTTCTCCTTTATCCATCTTCTATCCGCCTCCCCCTCGCTCCCTATTTATTTCAGAATCCCCTTCCCCTCCCCCATTTCTGAAGAAGGGACTAGACCCAAAACGTCAGCTGTCCTGCTCCTCTGATGCTGCTTGGCCTGCTGTGTTCATCCAGCTCTACACCTTGTTATCTCAGGTTTCCTCTTATTTGGATTTTCAAAACCTGCAGACCTAGGCACACAACTTGAACACTACTCTAAGCCTTACTGCCAATCACCCAATAAAACACTAGTGAATATAACTTTTACTCAAAGTTTCAGACTGTTCATTTGACATTGCTAGCCTATTTGCCAATAATACCACACAAGAAAGTCATGGACCTTTACACGTAGCATTATATCATGGCTATCCAGATCTGCCACCATTGTGAGAATCAACCTGCATTGAGCTAATGAACTCAGCAATTTGAGCTGTTGAGTTCAGTTTTAACAGTGCCATTATGCCCAAATATATCATGCAAACTTAAGAACACACCTTCGGACATATTTTCAATCCTGAAAATTGCCTGGTCAACCTCAGATGAAGGGTAAGATGTCTCAAAGGTTACAGCAACAGGTAAAGTTAAGTGCATCATGTTACAACTATGTAGTAGCAACATGAATGATGCTTGCCACGAAGGTTGTTGCATTTAAGCCAAAGAGACACTCTCCCTACCACATGAACAAGTAATATGGTATATGAAGTTGAGTGCTGGTGTGAAGATAGGTCTGCGGGTCAAACCTTCCAAAGAATAGTGGATACATTTGATAAATAATCCTGATTATGGAGACAATTACTTTGACAACCAATTTTAAATTGTTAGTTGAGCTTGCTGGAAGCTATGTATACAAATACACTTTGCAGATTGAAAGAACATGTGTGCACACTGCATCAGATTCAACTGAATAAAATAGGTGACAGCTTCTGTTTCATTTCTCAGGGCAATGACTTGACCAATTAGACTCCACATGCTGATTTAAAATTTTAAACTAAGCTTGACAATCAACTATTACTGATCATCTGTTACATCTTTTCATGGCAACGCATCTACCTGAGTCAAACTGTTAAAGAACCAGCACTCACTTCTAACAGTATAAATGATGTTTTCCATTTACATTGCTATTTCTTGCAAATTGTCCTAATGAGTACAAGACAAAATATGCCTTTTTCAGCAATATTCAACGTCCTCTTTTTGGACATACCCCTCCACGTCATAAAACTAGCTATGAAACACTAAGAAGGAAAAAAGTCCAAATTAAACATCTTAAACAATTTGGAAGAACTGTTATAATCTATGGGACTATTCAGTCAGCCTAAATTCCTAGCTTGGGATCTTGTGCAACAGTGTTGAGTTTAAAATTCACATAATTGAGTTTTCAATTTAGATGAAAGAGGAAATAGAAAGAAGAATTGTTTCTTTATTTCAGGGGATGTGAGCTTTGCTGGATTGGTCAGCATTTATTGTCTATCGCTAGTTATGCTTGAGAAGGTGGTGATGAGCTGTTTTCTAAAATCACTACAGTCTATTTAGCATATCTACCCCACAATACTGTTAGGATGGCAGTTTTTGGAGAGTCAAGGAAGGGGAATGTAGTTCCACATCAGATGTTGAGTGACTTGGAGGGGGGACTTGCAGAAG